CTCCTGTCATGTCCCAGCCTTGCCTTGTCACTCACCAGGAATGTACCTGCCAAGCTGTTGCTTTTCTTTGGTAGGTCTTAATGTGACCAGAGTAGAAGCTTAGGACACCAGCAGAAAGGGGAGCTGGTCCAGGCTGTGCTGATGCAGCTGTCAGGGAGGCTCACAGAACTTGGCTGAATTTTTTTCTGAAAACTGTGAACTAATGAAATACTACAACTCCTCAAGAGTTTTTGCTGATGGTTGCTTGATACTGGCTGCTTAATGTCGCTGCAGTCAAGCAACCTGTAAAATGTCTGTTATACTTCTGGTAATTAGATGATATTAGGCATAATGACAGGTGGTTGACAACTTGCATGCAAACTACAACTAATGTGATAAGAGCAGGACAGAATTCTTTATTTTGCTTCATATTTTCTATTTTTGGATAACCAGTGCCTGTGGAGCTGCTAATGCCAGATAAGGCAAAATCTACCATGTTATTTTTAGGAAAAAAAACTCTCTACTCCTACTTGTGTATTTGTGCTCTGCCCTGAAAATGCAGCTCACAACTGATTGAATTACAGGACTATTTTTAAGTATTACAGAAGAAAGGAACTCCCTTCAACTGATGGCTACACAGACAGGGTCTGGAATTGAAACAACCATAGGAATATATTAATTGAGTTATGCTCAGCAGAAGAGTTAATTGGCTGGTGCAGTACTGTATTAATTAATTTACATTGCTTCCAGAGCCCAAACTGGTGTCAGAAACCCTCAATTGCACCATTTACAGGGGTTTAACTACTTTAAAACATTATTTCTCAGGTCTGAGCAGTTTGAAATAAACAATTCCACTCTTATCTTATTAACAGTAAATCCATTCTTTTTCCTTCTCACCTGCCTCTGTAATGATTAAATGAGTATTTAGCAAGTGATATGTTCCGTAAACCACAAATGCCACATCTGCACATCTGTTAAACACCTCTGGGGTGCTGACTCACTTTCCTGGGCAGCAGCATCTTCAGACATTCTTACATATTCAGAAAAAAAAAAAAAAGAAAAAGCTGGGCCTGTGGAAATGTCTTAGCAGTTATTCACACTTTTCTTTAGTAAAATAAAAGAATCAATGAAGTATGATTTTTGCTTGTTTTGTTGTTTTTTTTTCTCCCAACTGATGCTCTCTTTCTGGACATGGATTCTGTGGCATCTGAGGAGCTTTGAATGCCTTCTGCATTTGAGAGCAAAAATAGTTCCTTTATGCTGTGCATGTTTATGAATTGAATATTGACTTCATCTCAGCTTCACATAACAGAAAATTCCAGTAGTGTGCCCAGAGGTTCTTTGCAGGGAAAGAACATGTGCAGGCAAGAACTGCGACTGGTGAGAAGTCTTTTCTTTTTTAGGAAGACAGTAAAAACTGCAAAGCTTGAAATGTGGAGTAAATGATGTGCTAACCAATATATAATACTTAGGAATTTTAATCATAGAATCATAGAATCAACCTGAAGAGACCTCAAAGATCACCGAGTCCAACCCTGCATTGGTCACTAGACCATGGCACTAAGTGCCACATCCAGTCTCAGCTTGAAAACCTCCAGGGATGGTGAATCCACCACCTCCCTGGGCAGCACATTCCAATGCCTGAGCACTCTCTGTAAAAGGTTCATTAGGAGGAGTTAGTTAGATGCACCATTATATTAACTAAATGCTACTTTTTTTAACTAAGGCTATAATTTATACACTAGCTGTTACTTGAGAGTTACATAAATTGATTATGGCCAACTCTAGGAGATTTGAGCTCTCACTTTAGACTTGGTAGAAGTTCTAGAACATGATTTAAATTCCAAATGCCAGTTAGTCTTCCATCATACCTTTACTGACTTCAGAGAAAGCCTTTTGTCATGTAGGACTCTTAGTAGTATGGGATGCTGTGGCACAGAGGTAACAGAGCTGCTGAATTCACATGTTTTTGTCGAGTTTGACTTTTTGCCACATGAAGAGAAAGGATTTATGTTTATGCAAATAATGGGATTGAAGTCTCCACATGGGGTTGTATTCAGGGGCAGCTGCTGCTTTTACTTATCGTAAGCAAGAATCGTTAATGTTTTGGAGCTGTACTTGCCTCACAGCTTGTCCGGGGATTGGGGAAGAGAGAAATCCCTGCCCTAAGGTCTGCTTAATTGCCTTCCTGTCCAAAGACGTAGTGCCTGAAAGGCTTGAACATAACCTTTAAATAAACTAAACCATCACAAGTAAATAGTTTGGTCCCCAAGTAGAGGACCCAGTGATAAATAAATTCATGTATAATTTCTACTTGTTGTGCTGCTATGATAGTACAGTTACGCATAAGTTAGAATCGATAAATTTACCTGAGTTTTTTCTATGCAGCAACTTGAAAAAACTCAAGTATTATGTGAAATAATTTTAATTACTGTTGAATCTAATAAATGTGTTTCGGAGTGTTCATATAGCTCAGATTTTTTTTAGAGGTATGTGTCCTGAGTGTAATTTTTTTCCTTCCGTGGATGAGGCTTAACTCCTTGGATGCTAAGAGTATTTTGTTTTGGAGTTAGTCCGAGGCAGTAGGGAGTTTGTGCTGCTGTTTCTGACTGATTTTATTGTTTGTGCCATAATAAACCAAAGAAAAATAGTTGAAATGTAAAATTGCAGAAATAACACATGGAAGAGAATGGTCAGTCATATTTTAGAGTCACTCCTTCTTCCTTCCTCCCCCAGCATCTGTGCCCACTTGTACTTACAGGGACAGGATGGCAGCCCAGACCGACTTCATTCTCCCAGTCAAAACGGCAGTTTTTGCCTAACTCCTCTGGGTAATGCAGGACTTTGCCTCATTATGGAATCCATTTGTATTTGCATAAAGATTATTCACCTCATCATAGCTCTATTGTGAGCTTAAGAGTCTAATGGCATAGAACTTCTTGCGAGATAAGAACTTCACTTTCAAGTTGTTAACAGTTTGAATAATGGTTCAGTTAATGGAGGAAGTAGTTGTTTAATTTAAGCTGTAGATGTTTAAGAGCAAGAATGTGCATAGATTTGGTTTTAGCTTGTTGCTTGTAGTGTCAGTAGGTATTCTAGTGCAAATTTAAGTCATCCTTTTGCTGGCCGTCCCTTTTTAGTAGCAAGTTAGGTATCATACAGATCTGATTATTTCGGGATACTTAATTACAAACCCGTGAAATAAAAATCTGTTGATACATTCGTCTGTATCCTCTGCTATGTTTGGATACTTGTTTTTTGTATTAGCAAGTGTTTCGGTGGGAAATAGCCAAGATACTGCAAGTTGTCGGCTGAGATTTGCAGAGGTGACTCGTGGCTGTGGATTTTTGGAGTGCTGGAGACTTGCAGCAGTGCGATGTCACTTCTTGGATGCTTCTCTTGTTGTCTTTATAGGAACTGATCTTGGTTTCATGTTGCTGCTTTATTCTTTGAGTACTTGTGTTTGTGGTGTATCTTGCAGTTAGACACTAAGGTTATCTTGAACCTCTCACCTTTCGATAAATTATGTGAACGTTGAGCTCTTAAAAGGTAACAAAAAAAGGTAGTGTTACTGTTCGGTGGAAAACATTGACATTGCTAAAAACTAGATCTCTAAGATGCCATTTTCTTTTTCCTTTTTGTCCCATCTGCTTGGTTTTGCCAAGGTCCCCAGTCACCGTAGAGTAAAATTGTTTTTTAATGTGGTAAAAGAAATTCTTGCCGGCTCTGGCTCCCTGGTGTGGGTGTTGGTGCTGGGGCAGCCCCAGGCTGTGCCACTGCCCCCCAGGGCTTTGTCTCATGCCTGCACCAACGCCATTTAGATGCTAATGAGATATAAGCTCGCTGTTTTCTCCTAGAACTTGACTGCATCTCAGGAATGTGGCCTGTCTGGTTTTAGGTTGGCTTCGGCATTAAAAGGACCTACTGTAATTCCTGCTCGCCGATGGATTGATTAAAGCCTCGGCCTTGTGTCTCGGGGCTTTGATGTGCCAAAGGAAACGGCTGGGTTGGTGGAGAATTACATACTTTTTTTGGCTCTCCGGATCTTACCTACTGCTCTGTGTTTTTTGTTTGCCATCTGCGATTAGGCAGGAAAGTAAATTTGCTCTGCGAAGCCACACATGGCATTAGCTTTACTGACAAGGATTGAACCTTTCCTTCTGTTCATGTTTGTCATGCGTTGGGGTAGCCAAACGCTCTATTGTTCTTTCAGCTTCTCTTGCAAAAATATATCTATCTATCTATCTGTCTATCTATATATATATCGTGTGGAGTGTATTTCTGTATTTTTACTGTGGGTCTGACAGTTTTCTGTTGTTAGGCTATTTTCTGGTTCAGTGGAATACATATTCTGGTTCATGTTTAGAGGCAGTGAATAAATGAATAACCTAGGCATAACAGGAACATATTGTAATAAATCTGAGTTCTACTCACGGCATCTTAGCAGCAATTTGTTGTATTTTGTGCTGAAAAAAGGGATCAATTTATATATGCTGCAAACACGAATTTGAAACATAGCCCTGGGAATAAAATTTTTGTAGGTCTGTTCTTTTGTACATGAATGCAGCATTCATCAGATCTTCCGTGCTGCAATCCCTACATATTCTAGTTGTAAAACGAAATAATAACTGGGTTTTGTTTTTGGAAACACGTTCTTTAAGATTTTTCTTTTAAATGTGTTGAATGATAATTTTCTTCGAGATTTCATTACTCTCTTAGGTGAAACATGCTTGGAGGCAGCACAGGGGAGGAAAACTGTAAATCTAGTTGGCCTCAGTGAGCAATTACTTTAGCAGATAAAACAAAATATGCAAATATTTCTTGAGCACTTAAGGCTGATCTTTCAGACACGGTCTGTATCCCTAGCCAAAGAAGGACATATGATAATTAGATTTTTGAAGGACCATGTGCTCATGCTACAGAGTGAAATATTAAAATGCAAGAAAGCAGAGTACCACATGGCACCATTGATTTTTATGGCAGTTCATGTTAAAATGCTCTCTCTTTATATTGCCTTTTAGGTTACCTAGGGTGAAACAAAATTACAGGCTTGGAGACTCTGGAAAAGCTCAGCATCAGCGTTTGAGGTAAAAATGAACATGCTGAAGTAATCTGGGGAGTGTCCTCCTTGTTAACTTTATGGAACTGATTGGAGTAGAAATTTTCATCAAGATTCATTTTGCATTTAAGTTTTCAGTATTGATTTGACTTCAGGATCTCTTTTTAGGTCTGGGAAAACTCATACTTTAGGTGTGTGTATATATATATAGTGTAAATTTTTTATGTTAGAGCTTTAAGAACACTCTAGATCTGCTTAAATAGATTTTTGTTTTAAGTTGTAGTTTTATAATACATATAAATGTTATATAAATAGATATATTTGGCTAATATAGCTAGGAATTCATTGTCATGAATGACTCACCTTTCTGAATTTTACTTTTATGGCTAAATCACTATCTTAAGTGCCCAATATTTATGCTTTTATTAAAAAACCACATGTGTTAATGTACTTAGGACAAAACAGTTGTTGCTGTTTCATGAGCTGTGACTGTATTACTTGTGGCTTCAAAATAGTTTAAAGTCATTTCGATTCTGATTTTTTAATGTTTAACTCAAGTGAAATGAAAATACATGTGCATGGAAAAAAGCAGTGCAATTATAGAGATCATAATAAAATTATATAGAACACTAGTAGTATATTTCTCACACGAACCAGTTGTTGATCATAGTAACCTGTAAATAGGGTTAGGGAAGCATATGCACATTTAAACTACCAAGGTTAATTTCCTATTAGAAACTGGAAGAATGATTTAGAAGACAAAGTAATTCATGTTCAGGATGGACTGAAGTAGTTCATTTCTCTCAGCAAGTTGTGTAGGCTCAACACATTTAAATGTTTATAAGCAACAGAGTTACCACAATGAACCATGCTATTGTAGTTCCCTTTTCAAACAATTTTTACAGTTCATGGGTTTTTGTTGTTGTTGTTTTTAAGAGCCGAAGCTTGCAAATTATGTGATTAATCTCCAAGCTGATATCATGATGTCAAAATGCAGTTTGGGAAGCATAAACACAGAGACTGCGGAAATTAAAACGGTAAGACTGTGCTTCGTAGCGTGGGAGAAGCAGGTTTTGTGTGTCACTTCACTGTGTTCTCCTATTTTACATTTAAAGCTGTTTCAGAACCATAGAGTAACTTCTGTGTGTGAGGTTACAGAAATTTGCTGTGAATTTCTTTGGAAAGAATAATCCAAGTAGCTACTTAATTTTATCCATAGAAGCTTAGATGCAGCAATAGCATAGGTAAAGGTGCTTGTCATGAAACAGGCTCTGATATCTTGTGAGACTGAATGTGGTTAGAAAGTTATTCAGTTTTTTGAAAGGATGTGTGTGTGTTTAAATATTTTTTGTGAATTTTTATTCCAGTGTGGTTGTGTTGGTGAAATACAATCAGTTTAAAAAGAAAAAAGTGGGAAGAGGAGTAATACAAAGGGTTAGAATTAGAATTGAATTTTTATGTTGTTCCAGATAGGAGATACAAAGCAAATGGAAAGGAAAGTAAATGGCAGGTAAGTTGTTAAGGTCCTAGTTTTGATAGTGTGCTGCAGTTTGAATTAGGAGTTCAGCAGTAATAGGAAAAGGGCTATCTGATTAAAGCTACAGAGCAGGAAAATGGATGTTTAGCTTGATAACATAGGGAAGACAGAAATGTACCTGGTTTTGCTATTCCTCACCTTGCCTTGCATCTTAGGTCCCATATACTTCATGTTTTATCTTTTTGTCCTCTCTGGTAAAAGAAGGTGAGTCTGCACAGCACCAATCCTACAGTGCTCTGTAAGCAGCTGACTAGTTAGGATTGTTGCATGGGGCCTTATACACATTGTTTTAACGAATGAAAGTTTGTTCCAGGATCTGGCTGCATGTTTGTATTCCTTAAAGGAGAAACATCCCTTTTCTGAACCTTTTTTCTGAATGCCTCGTGCTCTGGTATCACTGCAGATACATTGCAAAAGTGATTTTTGCTTTCCCATTGCATTGCTTTAGTGGTAAATGCCCTACAGGCCACATGTGTTATGCTGATGGATAGTGGTGTGATGGATAGTGGTGTGATCCTTCTGTGTTAAAGACTGTTACAGTCACTCTACAGCAGCACAACTGTTGTGTGAGCAGTGTCTCCCTGGCTCTGTTGGTAGAGCTGCACTAATGGCAACAGAAAGTGTTGATTAGGCTTTTGCCTCAAACCCAGGTTTGGCCACACTGTTGACTGAACATTAGATGAAGGACTTCAGGGGGCTGTGTGGTTTTCTGAGTCTGCTAAGTGAGTGTCATGTTGTACTCCGTTTCTTTCCTATAAACAGATGTTTAGGTAGAGCGTGCCAGGAATTCCAGCTGTTAACTGTTGTGTTGCTTGTAGAAATGCTTCAGAAGAAGCTCATCTAAATGTAGACCCCCAATGTAATCTTCATTTAATAAGCTCTTTAAAGAAACTTTCCTGAACCCCAGCAAGCAGCCTTTACTAGGCTGCTAGAGACCAGGGTTCTGCTTGTGCTGTTGGACTGGTTCTGTACCAGAAAAAATAAACATGTTTTCTAGTTCAAAATTAACATTCTCAATGAATATTGGTGATTGTGCTAAGGAAACCAGGGAAGACAGTT